ACAATAGTTTGGGGGGCTATTTCGCATTTTCGCCCCCTTAACGCCCTTTTTCGATTAAGTTTAATGTGTTTTCGGCTCTAACTCCCAACCTACACATGCTAATTACATTCCGTCTGTTGTCACAGGTCCTATTCATCACACGGAAGGTGGCCGTGACATCCGTACGGTGGTTCGGGAGCTGATTCGCATTTTTGCCCCCTTAACGCCTTTTTTTCGGTTAAGTTTAATGCATTTTCGGCTCTAACTCACAAACTACGTTTGCTAATTACATTCCGTCTATTGTCACAGGTCCTATTTGTGACGGGAAAGGTGGTCGTGACATCCGTATGGTGGTTTGGGGGTTGATTCACATTTTCGCCGCCTTAACGCCCTTTTTCGGTTAAGTTTAATGCATTTTCGGCTCTAACTCCCAACCTACATGTGCTAATTACATTCTATCTATTGTCACAAGTCCTATTTGTGATGGGGAAGGTGGCCGTGACATCCATACGGTGGTTCGGGGGCTGTTTCGCATTTTCGCCCCCTTAACGCCCTTTTTTCGGTTAAGCTTAAGGCGGTTTTGGCTCTAACTCTCAGCCTACGGGTCCGAATTACATCCCGTCTATTGTCACATGTTCTATTTGTCATTGGGAAGCTGTTCATGACAGCCACATGGTGGTTCGGGGGCTGTTTTGAATTTTCACCGCGGGAACAGCCTTTTTCGACTAAGTTTAAAGCATTTTCGGCTCTAACTCCCAACCTACAGGTCCGAATTACATTCCGTCAGTTGTGACAGGTCCTATTTGTCACGGCGAAGTTAGCCGTGACATCCATAGGGTAGTTCGGGGGCTGTTTTGCAATTTCGTCCCCTTAACGCCCTTTTTTGGTTAAGTTGTGTTTGGAAAGTTGGTTGATTTTTTTTTTTTTAGTTGATTTGATGGTTGTCAGAGAAAAAGTAAAATTATTATAGTTTGGATGTAGCATTTTGTCTTATTAACTATTTATGTCTGTTTTTGTCATTATTAACTATTTTAATCTCTAACCTACTTTCCATTGAGAAGTTGAACACAAAAATTATACTTTTCTCTTCTTTCCCTCTATTTTTTTGTATCCATGTAATGAACGGGGAGCGCCAATATCCCATAAAACAAAATAGATTCCGAAAATAAAATCAAACTGAGTTTCTTTTCAAATGTGTAACTATTTAAAGTTTCATTATTCAACAGTGAGTGAGAATTTACCTTTTATTATGCTCAATATGAGTTGGGTTGATCTAAATATTGAAGATCTTGGCAAAACTTTATAAGCATTGATCTTTCTAAGAAAATTGTCTATGAAATAGAATGGGGTGCCTGCTTGCATTCTCCATTTCAATGTGCTCAAGACCAGAAACTCCTTTTTCTCTATGGTTATTTCTAGCTTCAAACACAAATTTAGACTCACCCACCTGTCACATTCCTCATTATGATTGGAACAGTTGGATCTACATATGCCTATTAAAGTTCAACTAGAAAAAAAGAAAAGAAAAAAAGAAGCTGCTATGGATTCAAAAGGTTCCTCACACTTAATTGCATTATAATTTCAATAATCTAAGTATGGCTATATGTCATTTGAAATTAAATTTTTGCACCTGAACAGAACCAAATCTTTTATAAATACAATGAGACAGATCAATATAAGAAAAACAGGATGCAAGAGATCAAAAGCAAAGTGCTAACATCAACACACTGAATGTAAGCTTTTACCATAGATCATAGAAGTTGCAAAGGAAAATATGGAACAGGTTATGAAAACTTGAGTTTGAGAGTAGTAAAGTTCAATTTAGTCAAGAAATATTTCACTTTCTATAAAAGAAAAATCCAATTACCAAAAATAAAGGGCAATCTTTTTATCAACCCACTACAGCCTTTGACTGAAAATAACATGAACCAAGAGCAAAGCAAAACCAAAACAATCTTCATGTTAAATTCCAAGAATGTATGTGTCATGTGTGTGTGTATGTGTATGTGTCATGTGTGTGTGTATGTGTATGTGTCATGTGTGTGTGTATGTGTATGTGTCATGTGTGTGTGTATGTGTATGTGTCATGTGTGTGTGTATGTGTATGTGTCATGTGTGTGTGTATGTGTATGTGTCATGTGTGTGTGTATGTGTATGTGTCATGTGTGTGTGTATGTGTATGTGTCATGTGTGTGTGTATGTGTATGTGTCATGTGTGTGTGTATGTGTATGTGTCATGTGTGTGTGTATGTGTATGTGTCATGTGTGTGTGTATGTGTATGTGTCATGTGTGTGTGTATGTGTATGTGTCATGTGTGTGTGTATGTGTATGTGTCATGTGTGTGTGTATGTGTATGTGTCATGTGTGTGTGTATGTGTATGTGTCATGTGTGTGTGTATGTGTATGTGTCATGTGTGTGTGTATGTGTATGTGTCATGTGTGTGTGTATGTGTATGTGTCATGTGTGTGTGTATGTGTATGTGTCATGTGTGTGTGTATGTGTATGTGTCATGTGTGTGTGTATGTGTATGTGTCATGTGTGTGTGTATGTGTATGTGTCATGTGTGTGTGTATGTGTATGTGTCATGTGTGTGTGTATGTGTATGTGTCATGTGTGTGTGTATGTGTATGTGTCATGTGTGTGTGTATGTGTATGTGTCATGTGTGTGTGTATGTGTATGTGTCATGTGTGTGTGTATGTGTATGTGTCATGTGTGTGTGTATGTGTATGTGTCATGTGTGTGTGTATGTGTATGTGTCATGTGTGTGTGTATGTGTATGTGTCATGTGTGTGTGTATGTGTATGTGTCATGTGTGTGTGTATGTGTATGTGTCATGTGTGTGTGTATGTGTATGTGTCATGTGTGTGTGTATGTGTATGTGTCATGTGTGTGTGTATGTGTATGTGTCATGTGTGTGTGTATGTGTATGTGCATGTGCATGCGTATTTGCTTTGGTTTGCATACATATCATTATTAATTTATGCATAGTACTATGATAGTTCCTTTATCTTTATGTGCATGATGAGATGAATGGCTTTGTGTGATTTACTGTGAATATGTTTGCTTGGTTTAACATGTCAAGTTGTGAGCTTGTCACCGATTAGAAGTTGGCATGAGTGAGAAAATGACTTAGGATGGTGTTGGACTTATGCAGTCAACCTTGAACCAAATTGGGCATTAAGGATTGTATTAGATGGGAACTGGATGGTTGACTAGAATGAATATAGGATAGAACATGATAGGTTTTATTCTTGTATTGAATTCATGTAAGGTATACTGCACACTTACATATATCACCATAATAGCATGTAGGGTCGTAAAAGACTTTTCCTATTGGGCATGTTGAACTCACCCCTTCTTTTCAGGAAACGAGACGAGGGGACTGCATTGAGTAATGTTTGGGACTTGAAGAATCACTCTTATGTATTACCTTAGATATTTTGTTGTAATTTTGAGTGAACTTTAGTATTTGTTACATGGTTTAGACTTGTATATTTTAGAGGGGTAGAGAGGCGTGCAATAGTGCTCATTTCGAGTGGGGTTTCCACCCTATGTCCTACCATAGGATATAGAGATGTTAAGGGCGGTCCCAAACCTTTTGTTCCTGCTTTAGAATTCTTGTTATTTTATTTGTCAGACTTGGCTTAGCTTTTGAATAACTGTAATTTGCATAATTTTGTCGCTTTATGGAGACCAATTGGGGAATGTATGTGATCATCAGACTATTCCATAGCAATCATGACTGAGCGATAATTGGAAATGATAAGTTTTCTAAACAGGTTATGTCACTTTAAATATTTAACTAGAATATGAATCTTTTTAAATAAAAATCCTTTATCACTTGGCACATTAAGTTACTAAGCGGGTTTGCAATTCTGGGTCTTTGGATCCAGGGCATTGCAACTGAAGCCCCTAATAAGGTACCATGTAAACCAACAAGCTCACTATGAGAAAGAGAAACAATAAATCATTACAATAATGTCCACATTCAGACCAATATTAGCAAGACTTGACAAAGAGAGCAGACACAAATCCTGCACCTACTCCATATTTCTGTCTCATAAATAAACACTTCTGATTAAAATTTAGGAGGGTGCATGGATTCAACAAGATTTATCAATTTAAACTTTCCATTCTGTATCTCCTTGATTTAGTGTAAAATCATAAGGATATATGAGTACAAAACTTTCAAGCCTACTTATGAGACACGCACACCGGCCAGGCCAAAATTTGAAGGTTGTGTTTGGTTCATGAATTTGGAGAGGGATTTGAAAAGGGAAAGGGAAAGGGAAAAAGTGTGTGTGAAATATAGGTGAAATGTAGTTATATTTCATTCGCATTTCACCTACCTTTTTCCTTTCTCTTTCCATGAATCAAACACAGCCTAAAAGTTCCCATAAAACTCAACCTACATAAAGCATGACAATTCTTCATGGTCTATTTATAATACAAGTATTTCATTGTAAAATAAAAGTAAATGATGTACATGCCCGACGTGGTGCCTTATTGGTCTGCCACGTGGGTGGGGTTTTGGTAATGTGGGCTTGCCACGTATTGAGCTTGATACAAGTACCCACACTTTTCAAATGTGTAACTATTTAAAGTTTCATTATTCAACAGTGAGTGAGAATTTACCTTTTATTATGCTCAACATGAGTTGGGTTGATCTAAATATTGAAGATCCTGGCAAACCTTTATAAGCATTGATCTTTCTAAGATAATTGTCTATGAAATAGAATGGGATGACTGCTTGCATTCTCCGTTTCAATGTGCTCAAGACCAGAAGCTCCTTTTTCTCTATGGTTCTTTCTAGCTTCAAACACAAATTTAGACTCACCCACCTGTCACATTCCTCATTATGATTGGAACAGTTGGATCTACATATGCCTATTAAAGTTCAACTAGAAAAAAAGAAAAGAAAAAAAGAAGCTGCTATGGATTCAAAAGGTTCCCCACACTTAATTGCATTATAATTTCAATAATCTAAGTATGGCTATATGTCATTTGAAATTAAATTTTTGCACCATATAATGTTACTTTTAGCAATCTGTCACCTTCTATTTCAAGCCTATTCGTGCCCTTTCCCCATTCAGCTTACTATCTTCCACTTTCTCAAACCTAACCCCAAAAGTTGTGCATAACCTCCATAGGTTATTAGTAGAATTTTAAAGGTTTGTAGAGATGTCAAACAATACAATACCTCAGTTGCATATAGTATGTTTACAACCTAGATACATGCAGCTATCGCAAATTGACCTTATAGTGGAACCATTGGCATCATCCCACAAGAAACCCAAGTAAATTGGGAAAAAAGGTTGTACCTAGTGATGGTTCTATAAATTCAGGTGCTGAAAAGAGCAGAATGTGTAAACCAACCCCCTGCCATTATTTGCACAACAAAGCCATTCAGAGAGATACAAAAATGTAATTGAAGAAGACAGAATCAAAGCACTCTGTGCATTAGACTAGCAATACTTGGTCCTTTTGAACATGTGTCAGAAAATTCATTTGCATCATAAACCAACCAACCAACCAACCAATCACTTAATTCATCTGCGGTATCCTTCAGGTTCGCTGTTTTGAAATTTAGTAACTATTGCTTAATCAAATCCACTCATTTCCTTTGAAATAAAACATCTATAAAAATACCTAATTATTAGATAGGCACAACTAAAGTCATAATCAAATGTAGAAAAAATGCTTCCAGCCATAAAAAATAATACATGGAATAGAACAAAACCTGCCACATGCAACAACAATGTCATCAAACCCTGCTTCACTATTCCCACTATGGAGTTGCTGCTCTATCTCTTTAATTGCTTCGATATAGCCCCTGAACAGAACCAAATCTTTTATAAATACAATGAGACAGATCAATATAAGAAAAACAGGATGCAAGAGATCAAAAGCAAAGTGCTAACATCAACACACTGAATGTAAGCTTTTACCATAGATCATAGAAGTTGCAAAGGAAAATATGGAACAGGTTATGAAAACTTGAGTTTGAGAGTAGTAAAGATCAATTTAGTCAAGAAATATTTCACCTTCTATAAAAGAAAAATCCAATTACCAAAAATAAAGGGCAATCTTTTTATCAACCCACTACAGCCTTTGACTGAAAATAACATGAACCAAGTGCAAAGCAAAACCAAAACAATCTTCATGTTAAATTCCAAGAATGTATGTGTCATGTGTGTGTATGTGTATGTGTATGTGCATGTGCATGCGTATTTGCTTTGGTTTGCATGCATATCATTATTAATTTATGCATAGTACTATGATAGTTCCTTTATCTTTATCTGCATGATGAGATGAATGGCTTTGTATGATTTACTGTGAATATGTTTGCTTGGTTTAACATGTCAAGTTGTGAGCTTGTCACCGATTGGAAGTTGGTATGAGTGAGAAAATGACTTAGGATGGTGTTGGACTTGTGCAGTCAACCTTGAACCAAATTGGCCATTAAGGATTGTATTAGATGGGAACTGGATGGTTGGAACTGGAAAAACACTGACAATAAAAAGGCTGTCATTGAGTGTGCTTACCCACCTCCATTGTAGTTGCTGCATCATTCAATAACAATTTTGAATAAGAACAATGTAGTTGCTGCTTCATAGATGTTCTCTTTTAAAGCAAAATGCCTCAATTAAGCACTCCGGTGAGGAAGTCTAACTTGACCTGCTAATTTGTGTTCCATTTCATACCAATTAACACGATTATGAAGCTTATAGCCTACCCAAAGCACATTTTGAAATTCACCAAAATACGACTATAAGCTAAAATCCACACACATGCTCCAATCTAACATGATAGAAAATAATAATAATAATAATAATAATAATAATAATTCAGAACTGAAATCAAGCAAGTTCAGAGCAATGCTATATATGTATATATATATATATATAGAGAGAGAGAGAGAGGTGAGAATTGGAAGGTGAAGCAAAATGTCATTCACATGGTCACACAACCTTTCATTGAAAGACTCATAAAAATGGTGCAATCCCTCCCTTTACATGCAAGAATGTGCTTTGGCATTTTAAGAGGAGAACACTTTTTAAAATTTGACTTCATTTGTAAGGTTATTATATTCTGGGGTGAATGCTCATATGAATCAAATTTTACTTTGATTTTTTGACAAGGAAAAATTGCATTTACCTTCTTAGAGAAGAGACAACATCTATAGGACTTCCTGACTCAATGCTTCGCTGCCAAGCCTTATCAAGCTCCATTGCGAGCTAAGCCTCTCCCCTCAAGACGTAAGGTACAGAATAAAGAAGTCTATGAAGATAAATATATATATATATATATATATGTATATATAAAACCTATAAAGCAACAAAATAATGAAATATTAACATACCCAACGGTCTCAATATCAGCAGGCACAAAATCTGCAATACCAGTGTAACAAGTGTAGCCTGAATATGTGGCTTCCGTGGATCCAAACAAATTTTTCCTCACCTATTCAAGAGAAATGAGTATCTATAACTTTCACACTACACAGAAAATCTATATAACATTTTCTAGACACCAAAGGAAAAACACAACATTTGCAATCTTCCGCTTTTTGATGAATTTCTCCAAAAAAATTGCTCATTGTGGAAATTAAACAAGCTAGTTTCTTGAAACTTCCAGGAGTATAAAATGCACATAAACCCCAAAGAGGGGGAAATTTTAGTACACTAGGTACCTATGGCCAATAAGGTTAGGCTTTTTTGGCATAAATCATCTCCAAAAAATTGTTAACATACATCACCGCCCCAATATCAGCATAATGTGTAATTTTATATTTGCAAACATTATGATGTTTCTTTCAAAAACAATTTTCAAAACAAGCTTTTATGTTTAGAAACACTTCCTAACAGTTGCAGGTGGCTTCATTGATATAAAAAAAAATAAAAAATAAAAAAGCTATAACTAGCATTTCAATCTTCAATTTTGCCAAGCAAGATTCAAATATAAAATCCACACAATTTCCAGCTAACCCTTAACATAACACCCGAGACAATCCCTAGGAGAATTAGCAGTGTCATTGACTCAAACAAATTCACATAAAAATGAATTACGCGCATTTAGTCATAATTAATCAGTGTTAAACAGAATTGATATGAACTAAGGTTGAGGGATAGCTTCAATATTACAGTACAATTACATGTTTACATATATATCAACCACTCAAGTTATGACCTTTACTGTTTGATAAATGGCAATTGAATTGGCATTTTGTTTCTTGGTTTATTGCCCTTAAATGGTGGCAGTAGAATTGAGCAAATTCAAACAAAAGTAACAAATTCAGCAACAGAAACAGAAAAAGAACTTGCAAACTTATTGAATTTTTCAATTGATCGCCTCAAGAGTAATTGAAAATTCATTGGAAAGTACTTCAATCAAGAGTATGAATTTTTGTCCAATAAGGTGTTAAAATTATAATTCTTTTCTATGAAATACAAATGTTAGATACGGAAAAAATATTTACAAAGAATAATAAAAGCCCCAAATGGCAAACAAAAATGTTGGATTAAAAAAAAAAACAGGCTAGGGTTTCTACAATTGAAAAAATTAAGGAGATCGGCAAAGAATGAGAAACAGAGACCGAGAGAAAATCAACACAATTAAGCAATTAGCATATTTAGTGCAAGTGTGAGAAATGGGGAAATAGAGGAAGGAAGAGAGAGAAAGAGAGAGGCCGAGATGGACAGAGAGGGAGAGAGAGCGAGATCGACAGAGAGGGAGAGAGACTGAGAGCGACTGAGAGGAAGAGAGCCCGAGAGCGACAGAGAGAGAAAAATACCTGTGATTATGTGGCCGTGGCGATTTGCAGGTGGCGGTGGTGGTGGCGATTTGCAGGTGGCGAGCGCCGGTGGTGACCGCTGGTTGTGAGTGGGGGTGAGGGTTGGTAGTGTTTGAGACAGAAGTGTATATCGTGTGTGTGTGAGAGAGACACAACAGAGTGTAAATATATCGGGCGCCAAAAGAAATTTGTTTCCCTCTAAAACAAATTCTGAAACTGTGCTTTAGCGACAAAATAACTTTTTTGTTGCCAAATAATAATAAATAAGGACTAAATTTTTGCAGCCAAAGATTGAGTAATAGCGACTAATATATTTTTAGTCGCTGAAAGTCTTTTATAAATCCCTCCAAACTATTTGAAATGTCTCCCTCCAAAAAACTTTAATTCTTTGGCGACTAAAACTCTTTTTTGTCGCTGAAAATAAACTTTTGGCAACCAAAATTTTGGTCGCTAAAGGTAAAAAAATATTTTTTTATTTTTCATTCGGCAACTAAATGGTTTAGTAGCCAAAACTTAATATACAGCGATTAAAATTTTTTTTATCGCTGAAAATAAACTTTTGGCGACCAAAATTTTGGTTGCCAAAGGTAAAAAAATAATTTTTTATTTTCTATTCAGCGACAAAATGATTGTTGTAGCCAAAACTCAATATACTACAAATAAAAAAAAATTTGTCGCCAATTCTAGCATTTTTAGCGACTAAATTTTTTTTAGTCACCAAAAACCAGTATACCCCGACTAAAAAAAATTAGTAGCCAAATAGTTTATTTTTGCCGACTAAAAAAATGTTTAGTCGCCAATTCCACAACTTTTGGCAACTAAATTTTGTTTAGTCGCCAATTTTGATCGCCGAATGTGCATTTTGTTGTAGTGATTCATGTTCATCTAGAGTTATTATTATTATCATATTGGTAATTGCAATCACATAAAAGAAATTCTAGAAATCATAATAGTGATTGAATTAATGATAATTAAATAATTCAAATTAATGAGTACAGAATATTGTTGGTTAGTTTCGTATTCATAAGGTTTACTAATTTAGTAACTGCCAAAGTGGCTTAGATTTGTAAAACTTATGAATATAGAACTACATAAAAGAATTGTTAAAAAGGTAACATTACGGTCGATAATATTCTCAATTGCAGTTATAATTAGGAGATTGAGACTAGCACAAAGGAGAGTCACTTTCAAATAATTATGAACTGGGTAGGGTAATGTAACTTATGTAATTTGACAGATTAGAATTGAATACTCAAATGTAACATCACTAGCTGAAAAGTTGCATAAATTATTTTAGACCTACATAAGTGATTCTTGTTGAGTAGACAATAGATATACCTAAGTTTTACCCAAAGGAAAGACTTATGTGATATCAATAGTTCATCATTATAATTCTTAAAGCTTTAATATATATATATATATATATATTGTTTATGCCTACTTTCACGTTACTTATGAGACCTTGTGTTAATACCTCTTAAGATCTGTCAAAAAGATAATTGCTATCTAAGGTGGTTGGACTTAAAAGTGAGGCTATATTGACTCCTCCGACCTTCCTGAGATCTTACTTGGTTATTGACCAAAGGACTCTTTAGTGACGTTACCCTAACGCTTAAAGTAAAATTTGGGGCGTCACATGTTCTATCTTAAAGGCTATTAAAGATCGACAAGCCACTTACTGGCACTATTATGGCTAAATTGACAACAATGAAATATAATGGCCACCGAGGAGTTTAGGATCACATCCTCAATATGGCTAACAAAGTTGCAAAGCTTAAAACTTTAGAGATGCAAGTTGATAAAACTTTCCTCGTGCAGTTTATTCTTACTTAACTTCCATCACAGTTCGGTGCATTCATAATTCACTATAACACCAATAAAGATAAGTGGAGTTTGAATGAGCTGACTAATATATGTGTTCAGGAGGAAGTGAGGTTGAGGGAGGAAGGACGTCAAACTGCATTGGCTGTAACTCATGGAGCTATAAAGGAAAAAAAGGGTAAGTTTGTAAAATCAAAGAAAAATCCACCAAAGAAAAAGAATGAACCTGGGGAAGAAAATCAGGCTCAGAATGGTTTCACTGTCAAGTGCTACTTTTGAGGTAAGAAGGGACATGTGAAGAAAGACTGCAGCAAGCGAAAGGTTTGGTTCGAAATGGAAGGTAAGAAATTTTCTTTTGTTTGTTATGAATCAAATCTTACTGAAGTACTTTCTAATATTTGGTGGATTGACTCTGGGGCCATGACCCACATTACAAATGACATGTAGGGATACCTCTTAACCAGGCAACCGAAGGAAAGTGAAAGATTTGTCTATATGGGGAACCGTCTCAAAACTGAAGTCGTAGCTGTAAGAACCTACCGACTGATCTTAGAGACAGGTCATCAAATGGATCTAGAAGACACTTTTTATGTTCCTTCAATTTCTAGGAATTTAGTTTCGTTATTCAAATTAGATCGTGTTAGATATTCAATTTTATTTAGTTGTGAAAAACTCAATTTAATGTTTAATTCAATAACAATTGGTTCTAGTAATTTATGTGATGGTTTATATAAAATTACCTTAAGCATGAGTTTGCACAATCATTAGTAACTTTGCATTCGAATATTGGTTTAAAACGTGGTCTAATTAATGAAAAATCATCAATCTTGTGACATAGACGGTTGGGGCATATCTCTAGAAATAGAATTGAAAAATTGGTGAAGAATGGGATTTTGGAAAACCTAGACTTCACTGATTTTGAGATATGTGTGGATTGCATTAAAGGAAAGCAAACCAAACACACCAAGAAAGGTGCCACAAGAAGTAATGAGCTTCTTGAGATAATTCATATAGATATTTGCGGGTCACTCAACATCCTATGTCTTAGTGGTGAAAAATATTTTATCACATTTATAGATGACTTCTCACGTTATGAATATGTGTATCTAATTCATGAAAATTCTCAGGCTGTTGACATCCTTGAGGTGTACATAACTGAAGTCAAGAGACAATTAGATAGAAAGGTTAAAATAGTGAGATCAGACAGGGATGGTGAGTATTATGGTAAATATGATGAGTCATGCCAAAATCCTGGCTCATTTGCCAAATTCTTAGAAAAGAAAGGCATTCGTGCTCAATATACAATGTCTGGTACACCACAACAAAATGGAGTTGCTGAAAGGCATAATCGTACACTTAAAGATACGGTTAGGAGTATGTTAAGTTACTCAATTGTACCTATTTCACTGTGGGGTGAAGCTTTAAAGACTGCAATGTATATCTTAAATAGGATTCCTAGTAAGGCGGTCCTAACAACTCCTTCTGAGATATGGACTGGTAGGAAACCTAGTTTGAGACACTTACATATTTGGGGTTGTCCAGCAAAGGCAAGAATCTTCAACCCACAAGAGAAAAAGTTGGACTCAAGAACAATATTTGAATATTTCACTAGTTATCCAGACAAGTCTAAAGAGTACAAATTCTATTGTCCTAATCATAGTACGAGGATAGTGGAGACTGGTAATGCTAGATTCCTAGAGAATGGTGAAATTAGTAGGAGTGAGAAAACACGAATGGTGAATTTCGAGGAAATTAGGGTGGATGTCCTAACATTTAACCCTTATCGAAAAATTGTTGTACCTCAGACTATTCCACAGGCTGAGGGAAACGAACATGAAAAATCTAAAAATCTCCTAGATGTTGATTTGTGATCATGTATCAATTTTAAGCAGTATATAACAATCCCAATCAAACAATCAAGACAAATCGACACAACGATTTTACGTAGAAAAACCATAATTGGACACCTCCAATTATGATAAAAAATCACGGGCAAAAGCCACAAAACAATCCACTAAAAAGACATAAAGGAATTACACATGTATACTCTCAATTACCTAGCGAATCCACGCCCAAATTGAAACAACCCCTATGTGCCTCTTCCAACCCCGTCTTCACCTCGGAATTGTCTTGACGATGAGCCACTCTAAAATCCACCAAAGCTTCAGGCTCGAATTCTTCAGAATCCACCGAAGTACAACTCTCTCTTTTGTGTAGAACAAAAAAATAATCCTTTGATATATACTCTTTAAACCATGAGTTGAATACTCAATCAAACTATCAAAGAAAACTAGCAAAAAATCCCCAGATATAAACCCTAGAACCCAAGAAGAAGATCTGGAGTAGTAACCCTAAAATCTGACAGAAACCCGTACTTATAGAAATCTGGAACTGTGAGGCTCGCTCGAGCGAAGACTCTCTCGCTCGAGCGAGGAACAAAAAACGCGTGTTTTTCATAAGTGGATTCGCTCGAGTGAACAATCAACTCTTTTAGGTTTTTAGCCAGACGCAGTCTTCGCTCGAGCGAGCACTCCTTCGCTCGAGCGAGCAAGGGCGGACATACAATTTTGAATGCAGTTTTGCATTTCGCTTCGAGGGCGCTGCCCCTCGACCCCGCCATGGCGCTGCCTCGGACCCGCCAAGGGGCACTGCCCCCTGGACCCCCGCGAGCTGACCGGGCAACTCGATCCCCATCATAATCAGCGAAGTGGCAATCTTGAAAGTATTAACATCACAAACTTCTTTGCAAGGCATAATTCGGGTTGGATTCGCATCTACAAACTCATAACCTCACTGAAATAAAAATGTGAAAACAAATACAACTGAAAGGAGTTTTGTCAAACGGGATTGCCAAGAATAAAAACCTAACAATCTCCCACTTTGGCAATGTCGTGACAAAACACACCTAACAAATAAAATCCTAATTACCCCGACCCATTACAACCAACAAACACAAACTTCACACAAACTTCTTTATCAAGGTTAAGATCTGCAAAACAGCTATTAGTGCCACAATCTCCAAAACAACTATTAGTCCCACAAGAATATATGAAAAGGCAATAAACATATGGCTAGACTATCTTGAAACATTTGAAGCATGAGATGGAAAACATGAATAGATGCGACTTGGAGATTTTATGAACATGTAGCATGAAAACCTGAAAACTAAGACACATGCATACGACACATGGCATGAATACATGAAATCCTAAGACACATGCACCGGGCAACATTACTCCCCTTTTTTGTCACGAATTGACAAAGGAAGCTCAATCAACTAAAGCAAGATCAGAAACCACACAAGCAATAATATGATGAT